TCGATCAGACGATGCTCCTGTATGTCCTCGAACTTAGCCTGGAAGGCCCAGTCGAACAGACGAAGGAACTTCTCGGAGCGACGCCAGACGGGTACGTCGGTGTTCGCATTCCAGCGTCTGAGCGACTTCTTCCATGCTCTGAAATGCGCCCATCCCGGCCACGCCGGTGGGTCTGAGTAGTCTCCCTTGGACCAGGCGCCGCCTCCTCCTGCCCAGCTGCCGGACCAGGCGGCCAGCTCGGGTCGGGACCCGGTCCCGCGGGTCCAGGCGGTGTCGTGAGACCAGCCTGAGTCCTTCTGCCAGCTGTCCTTCAGATCGGGCTGCCGATCCTCCCAGCCGGTCCTCGGGTCGGCCTGCCACCACCGACTCTGCCAACTCTCTCCGCCACTGGCCGTCCACGGATCCGAGCTCTGCCACGGATCTTCGCCCTTCTCGTCGGGCTTGCTCTTCTCATCCGGCTTGCCAGTGGCCGCGGAGCTGGACGCTGCTGCAGCACTCGAGCTCCTGGACTGCTCCTGCATCGCCGCCCTGACGATGTCCCCGATGAGTCCTCTGAGCTCGCCCCTAGTGACGGCAGCCTCGTCCGTCCCCGCACTCACGTGTAGGTTGGCCCCCTTCTCTGCATCTTCATCCTCGACGCCCGTCATGGCGTCCACCGTGGATCTCCACGCGTCGCAGTCGGCCGAGCGCAGCGACCGCTCGGGAGCACGCGAACGCCGGCCGGTCACGCCCCTCGGGCGCGGACCTGGCTCGCGCCCATGGCACCCCGAGCGACTCCGCGCTCCGCTACCAACTGTGGCAGCACAGGATTGGATGAACGTTTTTGGGCTTGAGCCAGAGAGGGTAACAGTACACCAAGCACACACTGCAACTCGGTAGGACGATCAAGGTAATGATCTCAAATGCTAAACCTAATACGCAAAATCTGGAGATCAGTCACACACGGAATGGCCTCTCGTGGCAGAATGGTGGGCCCGCGTCCGGCGGCGTCCTGGGACCCTCTTGGAGCCCTCTTGGACCCAAACGGCCCGAAGACGGCCCAATAGGCGCCCAAGACGGCCCACGATGGTTCCAAAACGGCCCCGAAGGCACGCAAGACAGCCCCAAGAGCCGCCAAGACGGTCCAAGACGGCTCCCAGACTGCTCAAGAGGCGCTCAAAACGGCCCAGGACGGTTCCGAGATGGCCCAAACGGCACCGACGAGAGCCCACGAGGGCCCCCAGAGGCCCCCTCGAAGCCCAAAAGAAGCTCCATGAGGCCCCCACACGGCCCCTAGGAGACCCTAAGTGGCTAACCGTAGGATCATCGCGCAGGGGCGCCGCGCGCCCGAAGTACCTCCCCGCAAGCGTTCTGTGTCTCGCCGCCGCCGCCGTCATCGCCCCCGTCGGGCGGCGCCGGCAGGCGCCACGAAGCGTGCCGGTGCAGCTCGGGGCGCTGCTGTGGAAGGGGCGGATAGCCTCTCGGCACCATTCCCGCCGCTCCCCCTGGAATACTCTTGGCCAGATGTTATGGACGAAGTCCACGGGTCAGCCCTAGTCTATATTCTAACGCCGGGGGAGCCGCGGGCCAGAATGGCGGGGGACCCAGTGTGGCAAAACCGCCCTCGGGCTGGCCCTGGGCCGCCCCAGGCCGCCCAGGGAAGCCTCCAGACGGACCAAAGGGCCCCAAGCTGCCCCCAAGACGGCCCACAGACGGCTCCGAGCCGCTTAAGAGGCCGCCTCGACGGCCCCAGAAGCTCCCAAGGCAGGTCAGGAGGCTCCCAAGACGGCCCTGGAGGACCTCCCAGGAAAGCCCCAAGAGGCCGAAATCTTCCCATTCCCCTCGGGAAACGCGCATTTGGGGCACTATCGTGCTTTTCGTTTCCGACGCGTCCACGACGGCCATAGAGACCCCCAAGATCGCCCCATGAGGGCCCCAAGACCGCCCACGACGACCCCAGGACGGCTCCTGAGGCGCCCCTGGCGGCCCACGGAGTACCAAGACAGCCTCAAGAGCGGCCCAGGACGGCCCAAGACGACCCCCCGACGGTGCCCAGGCTGCTCCAGAGACGCCCAAGGCGGACCCAGGCAACCCCGAGAACGCCTCAGATGGCCTGCAGGCGGCCCAAGAGGCTTCCAAAACGCTCCAAGTGCTCCACGACGAGCCCCAAGAGAGCCCGAACATTGAAAATACGCCCCATTCCTGCGGGAAAAAGTACATTTTGGCAGTTCCTGGGCTTGCCCTCTTCATAGCGTCCAAGACGGCCATACAGAGGCCAAAGATGGCCCTAGGACGGCTCCAAAGGCGCCCCTGGCGGCCCACGGGGCACCCAAAACAGCCTCAAGAGCGGCTCAGGACGGCCCAAGACGACCACCAGACGGTGCCCAGACTGCTCCAGCGACGCCCAAGGCGGACCCAGGCAACCCCCAGACGGCCCCGAGAACGCTTCAGATGGCTTGCAGGCGGCCCAAGAGGCTTCCAAAACGCTCCAAGTGCTCCACGACGAGCCCCAAGAAAGCCCGAACATTGAAAAATCGCCCCATTCCTTCGGGAAAACGTGCATTTTGGCAGTTCCTGGGCTTGCCCTCTTCATAGCGCCCACGACGGCCATACAGAGGCCCAAGATGGCCCTAGGACGGCTATTGAGGCGCCCCTGGCGGCCCACGGGGCATCCAAGACAGCTTCAAGAGCGGCCCAGGACGGCCTTAGACGACCCCCAGACGGTGCCCAGACTGCTCCAGAGACGTCCAAGACGGCCCCAGACAACCCTCAGACGGCCCTGGACCGCCTCCACACGGCCCAAGAAGCACCCGAGACAGCCCAAGAGGGCCCCAGGAGGTTGCCAGGAGGCCGAAAAGAAGCGCCGAGAGGCTCCTAAACGACCCCCAGGGGCCCCAAGATCACGGCCCAAGAAGCACCGAAGACGCACCAACAGCAGCCACAGACGGCCTAACACGGCCCGGAGACGGTCCCAAAACGGCTCCAAGCGCACCATGGGTTTTTGATGCTTGTTTGGCGCTCCCTGCCGGATTTGGCCTCAAAATCCCTAGCCTTTTTTGTCGGTTTGGAGCCCTCTCCGCGGCCTCTTGGGGCCATGCCGTGTTTCGCTCTTCTGCTAGCCCAGAATCGCCTCGGCCGACCCTGGAAGCGCGCGCGGCCGCCAAGGGCGCGTCGGGCGGAATTATGGGTCGGCGGCGCGGTGGCCCAGAATCGGTCCCGCCGATTCTGGGCGGGCGGCCATTATGGAGCTATCTTGGAGGCGTGTTGGTGATCTTGGGGCTCCTCAGAGGGCCCCCAGACGGCCCCAGAACGCCCTGAGAAGGTCGGACTCAACGCACCGACAAAGCCCGACCCGATCCCAAGGGAGCCCTTGAGCGTCCCAGGTGGGGCGTCCAGACGCTCCTCCGTCTCCTCGCTCAGCAATGTGTGGCAGGCGAACATGACGCCATTCATCCTGATCGCCTTGCAGCAGCACCCCTTCACCCCGCAAGTGGACGTAGTCCACGGGTCAGCCCTAGTCTCTCCTACAATGCCGGGGCCAATGCGTGCGAAGAAGGTCTGGGGACCGATGGACTCCCCCAGCGCTTCGGAGACGCTGCGGCGGGCCACAGGGCGGTCCAAGAGAGCCACTAAATGCAAAAATCGCCCACTTCCTTTCAGGAAAAACGTACATGTTTCGTCTCCGAGGCGTCCACGACACTTATACAAGCAACCAAGATGCCTCCATGAGGACCCTCGGACGGCTCAAGACGGCCTCAGGAAGGCCCAACAGGCGCCCAAGACTGCCCAAGAGGCATCCAAGACGGCCCTAGACGGCCCCAAGGGCACCCAAGACGGCCCAAGAGGGTCCCAAGAGGCCCCCACGAGGCCGAGAGGATACCTCCACGAGAGGGGGGGCGGAAGAGAGGCGGAAGGCTCATCGCAGGCTCTGAACATCCGTTTTCGACGCTCCGAGGGCCTTGGAAGCTTGTCTTTTCGGGAGCGTCGACGACAACAACGACGACGAGCCAAGATCCCAGACGAGGTTCTCCAGTGAATGCGAGCTCTCACAGTTTCGGCCGCCCTCGAGAAGCTCTGCGAACGACCTCCACCCAAAACTCTCTGCGGGATTTTGGCTCGAATCGGACTCCCTCGCGACAACGACAACGACGACGACAACGACGACGACAAATACAACGACGACGACGACGACGACGACGAGGGGTTCGATTCGAGCCTTGATCCCAGACGAGGTTCTCCAGTGAATGCGAGCTCTCACAGTTTCGGCCGCTCTCGAGAAGCTCTGCGAACGACGTCCACCCAAAACTCTCTGCGGGATTTTGGCTCGAATCGGACTCCCTCGCGACAACGACGACGACAAATACAGTGACGACGACGACGAGGTGTTCGATTCGAGCCTAGATCTTGGACAAGGCTCACTGCACAGAGGTGTCCGAACGACGTCCAGCCAAAACTCCTGCCGCCCGGGACTTTCGTTCGCTTCGGACACCCTCGCGACGACGATAATGCCGACGACAACGGCGACGACGACAATGACGATGCCAACGACGTGTCCGAGTCGGGCCAACATCCCAGACAAGGTTCTCCAGTGAATGCGTTTTCTCTACATTCCGGCGGCCCTGGAGGAGCTCTGCGAACGACGTTCAGCACAAATTCCACCCAGGATTTGGGCTCGACTCGGACATCGTCGGAACGACGACGAGAGCTCCGACAGCGACGACGGCGAGGACGACGACGGCTCGGAGGTGTCCGATTCGAGCCGGAGTCCTCGACAAGGTTCTCCAGTGAATGTATTTTCTTCAAGTTTCGGCCGCCCTGGAGAAGCTCTGCGAACAGGTCCAGAAAAACTCCCCCCGGGATTTTGGCTCGAATCGGACACCCTCGCGACGACAACACCGACGACGACACTGACGACAACAATGACGACGGCACTGAACAGCCTTGCGGCACCATCACCGCCCCCACCGCCCGAGCCATTCTATTGAAGTGTCGTGGCCGTAGGCCGCGGGTCAGCCCTGGTCATCTACAACGCTGGGATCAGCGCGTGCGGGAAGGGCGAGCAGTGGCAGCGGGCTTTGGCGTTGTGGGGGGAAATGTGTAAGGCGAAGCTGGTGCCCTGCGTCATCAGCTACAGCACCGGGATCAGCGCGTGTGACAAAGGCAAGCAGTGGCAGCGGGCCTTGTCGCTGCTCAGCGAGATGTTCGAGACGACATTGCAGCCCACTGTCATCTCTACTACATTGCAGGGCCCCGCGCGTGCGAGAAGGGCGGGGGTCGGACAAACTCCTCCGGCGCCCCCTGCGGGCCCTGCGGGCCCCGGAGCCCCAGCTGGCCTCGGCGCGCTTCCAGGAAGGCCCAAGAGCGCTCCGAGACCCTGTCGGAACTCCCCGAGGACCCAAAGACGCCCCAAGACGGTCCAAGAGGGCCTCCGAGATGGTCCAAGAGCGCTCGAAGATGCCCAAGATAGCTTCCAGACGGCCGAAGAGACGCCCAAATTGCTCCAAGTGGGCTTCAAGAAGAGCCCAGAGAGAGCCCGAACGAGGAAAAATGTTCCAAATCCTTTAGGAAAACGCTCATTTTGGCAATTCCCGTGCTTTTCGTCTTCCGAGCGCTCAAGACGACAATACTGTCCCCCAAGATCGTCACAAGAGGGCCCAGGAGGCCCCCGGGAGGGCCCCAAGACGGCCCAAGGCGGTCCCAGGATGGCCCCTGAGGCGCCCATGACGTCCCAAGAGGCTCCCATGACAGCCCCAAGAGGGGCCAAAGACGACCCAAGAGAGCCCCAAGGCGGTCCGAGGACAGCCCCGGAGCCGCCCAAGACGGTCCCGGACGGCCCCAAGACGGCCCAAGGGGCACCCAAGACGGCCCAAGAGGGCCAAAGAGGCTCCCAGGAGGCCGCCAGACGGCCCAACAGGGCCCCAAGAGGTTCTTACAGGGCGGAACAGAAGCCCCGGGGCGCGGCCACACCCACGGAAAACAAACCCCGACTTCGAGGTTTATTTTCCGACGCCCTAAGGCGGAGCAATCAACCCTCGCCCAGGACGTTCGTCGATTCGCCACATCCACGGTATGCCAGTACCTATTTCGAAGTCTTCCCCCCAGGCTCCAGATGGGGCACAGACGTCTCGCCCAGATCGTTCGTGGATCAACGGCGCCCACGAAAAAGACTCCGCAACTTCGGAGGACATTCTCCAGGGTCCGGCGGTCGGCCGAGAAGACGCCCCCCAAAGCCATCCTTCGGCCCGCCACGTCGACGGAGAATAAACACCACGCCCGAGGTTTATTCTACGAGGTCCCAGGTCGGCTCCAGGGTTCTGGCGAGACGTCTTTCGCAAACCTGCGCTTTAGCGCTTACTCTGGAGTTCTGGGTTTCGTTTCTGCGGAGATGGAGGGTGGAGGAGAAACCAATATTGTGTCAGAGAAGGGCGCGCAGCGGTTCTACCCTCCAGCTCGGCGCACACCTCACACAGCTCGTGGCTGCATACGGAGCGCTGCCCGTCTCCGAGGGTGCGGGCACAAGGGCGCGAAGATTGCCGGGCCTCGCGCGGCGCAGCGCCGCGAGGTGTTTGGGTGGCACAGGATCTGGGCTGCTTCCGAGAGGCGGCCCAGGCGATGGACGCAGATAGGATGCCAGCCTCTGCCCAGGCTCGGGCCAGACGAAATCGGCGAAGGCCGAGTTCACACGCAGACAGTTCGCCTCCAGGAGGGCTCCTCGCCGCCACGGCTGGACGCAGCAGACAAACTGGTACGCTTCGACAGCGGGAAGGGGTCCCAGGGACCGATTCTGACAGCTCTGCCCCCCCCTTCCTCGGCCGCGACAGGCTGTGCAGGCCCGCGGGACGCCCCGCCAGTTCGACGGAGTGTGGGCCCCAACTCACCAGCCAGGCGCCGGCGGCGCGCCGCGCGCCACCGTCATCGTCGTCGTCGCTGCCACTGCCAACGTCCAGAGCGACGTCGCGGAAAAGTAGGTTTCCGCCAAGTGTAGGCAGCGGAGACCCCGGCGCGGGCGTTCAGGGTTCAATGCCGTCAGTGATTCGCAATCGGTCCACGCAGACTGACCGGCGCTCCCAAAAAACCGCCAAAGTTCAAGGTTCATCGATCCACGTGGTACCAGAAACTTGTGACCTCGTCATCGCGACGTCACAACCTACTCACAACGTTGCCCTCCAGATGTCTCGACGATTTCCGCACGCGTGGTTTCCTCATCCCCAGTCCGTTTTGAACGGTTCGGCCAGGAGCTGGCCTCAACAGGCCGACACAACCAGAAAGTCCCCCTAGTATTTGTCAGGGGGCCGCCCAAATCCTAGGCGGCAGTCCGAAACCACCGAAGCCCGATCGAGAAGATCCCCAAGATCTTTCCTGCAACCCACACGGAGCACAATTTCGCGCGTCGCCATTTTAGAAGGACCCGGGCCCGGAAAACAGCCCCCAGACCCCGCGAACACCAACACAACGAGACACCCTTTCAGGACCGCCACGGACCGACACCGTTCATGTTCGGTCACATGAGCTTTCCCGCGA